CAGCTCCAGGTGAGGCGGCGCCGCGCGGTGCCTCGCGTTCCCGGCGCCGTTTTGCGTTGTGCCGCGTCGCCTCTCCTTGCCTTTGCTTCCCATCGCGTCGCGTGGCATCGCTTTCCTTCCCCTTGCATCGCCTCGCCTTTGCTTTGCAGTTGCTTTGCATCGCATTGTGTGGCATCCCTTTTCTTCCTTTCCTCCGTGCAGACGCTTTCCTGGCCTTTCTTTGGTTTTCCTGGCCTTTCTTTGGTTTTCCTGGCCTGTCCCTGCCGGAGGAGCCGGCTGCATTGCACAACGAGGGGCACCCGCAGGTGCCGCAAGGCCCTTTCTCCTCCCGTTGCCTCCAGGCCTGAGGCGCTCCAGAGGGTCCGGGGGCGCTGCGGGGATGGAGGGCGCCTCTGGCACGAGCCTCCCCGGAGCAGTTTTGGGCACCCCCTGCCAACCCCAATGACTTTTACCTCAGCAACCCCCCTTGTTCATGCCAGGGGCACCGTGTGCGCCGCGGCCTCGGCGGCGCCCATGGGTCCTCTGTGCGACCGGCCAGTGAGCTGTGGAGTTCACCAGTTCTCTTTTAATTGCTTCCAATTAAACTTATTTATTTATTTTTGTCAAAGAGACTCTTTCTGGCCAATGGGTTAAGATCTCATAAAGCAGAGCGAGTTACTGCAACCCACCCAAGCCCCGTCCAAGCCCATCCCGAAACCGGGAGCTCCGGTGCCTGGTTAGCTCCATGGGAAGGTCTTCCAGGTCGGATGCAGATTGTCTCTGTGTCGAGCGGCCAGGTCCTGCGGAGGAGCTGGAGGAGGATGACCCCCATCTTTTTGGCCTCTCCAAGCTAAAAGGGGAGTTGAAATCCACAGCACTGCTCAGGATGGGCTTCCAGTGGGTGCTCGTGTCCTAATTACAGCCTGCGGAGGGCTAATTTGGAGCTTTGGAGAATAAACAAGCCACGATAACAGTGCTCCTTGCAAGGAGCCTCTGATAGTGTGGAGGGGGAAGGGTGTAAGTGCTCAAAGCAGGATGTGGTGCCTTAAATTGCTTGAGTGTGTTTGGAATAAAGTGGCAGCTGCCACCGGGAGATGTTCCCGAACACAGAGGTTTCCATGTGGTGGGTTTTGTGCTTTCCTTTCCTTATAGACAAGTGATGATGTCCTGAGTGGGAAAGCTCGTTGGAAAGGCTTAAGAGACACCAAAATGGGCCTGGGGGTTTGCTTGCTTCCCTCAGGGAAGGAAAGCAAATGCAATCTGCAACCCAGGGGGCCCTTTCTCACCAACTGCCCTTTTTTTGCCCGCAGGAAACTCACAAAGTTTACAAGCAGAAACTTGAAGAAGTCACCAGCTTGCAGACAGCCTGCAGCAGCTCCATACAGAAGCAGAAGAAGACATTGAAAGACTTGAAGCACCGCCTGCAACGGTAACGGAGCTGAGGGGAGCGGGTGGCCCCCCTTTCCAAGTGGCAGATTTGTTTGGGATTTTTAGCACTTGCAACTTGCTCCGTGGTTGATTTGCCTTGTTAAGGGACCTGCTTTCAGCTGCTCAACAGATCTTTGGGATCCTTGTGTGCAGGCCTGAAAATATCAGCACAAACATCCTAAGTTGCTGCTTCCACTGTTCCCTGCTTTGCATCAATTAGTAAAACTGCAGCTTGCCAGTAAGTCATCAGCTGTGGCTTTTGTTTCAGCGTGAAATATTTTATGGCTGGAGAACCACAACTGCAAAATTGTGCCCTCAGCAGCTGCAGTTCTGAGCTCAGAAGCCAGCCCGTTGTAATTTTATGGACAATCTCTTTCCCCGAGTTTTATATGGTACTTGGAAACTTTTTTTTTTTTTTTTTTGAAGGTTGAGCCTGGCAGCTCATAGGAGGCTTTTAAATGATCCCTGGGCTCTCCTGTAGATGTGGGAGTTGCATTGCTGAGTGCCCTGTCCGCATCCATGGCAAGCTTAGCAGAGCTCCCTGACGCATGTAGGTAGAGGCAGGAGGACACTCGTGTCCCACTAATCCATGATGTCCTTGGAGGAGCAGCCTCCAGGCTCTAGGGCAGTGCAGGCTCCTTGTCCTGCGCCTCGGGGACACAGGGACACCCGGGCTGCGCTGCCTGCGGTCCCCAACGCACTGTCCCGGGAGTGGGAACACACAGAGAAAGGCAAAGTAGAAGGTCCCTTTCTCCATCTTCCTCTGCCCAACCCACCATTAATTGTGCAGGGACTGAATCGACCTCTTGGTCTAAATGAGTTTGACACGCTCATGCTGGAGGCTCTGTAGGATGCATGAGGTCATGTTTTGTTCTTAAAGGCTGTACAGTGAGCTTTTGTCTTCAGCTGGCTTCTTGCAAGGAGTTAGCATGGTCTGGGTAGAGGTTTTTCAATTTACACAGAGTTGGGATCAGTTGGAGTTTGTTTGCGTGTGGTTTCAGATGCTGCTTTTACATTTGGAGGCAGTTCCAGCAAAACTTCTGATCTGCTCTAGTGGTTTTTGCAGTTGAAATAGAGAATTGGGTCAATGAGGTGGAGAGAAGCTTATTTACAACCTAGTGGATTGAGATTCCCTGCAGTGAGATAAACCAGGTGGTCGAATTACCACTTGGCTTGTCAATGATTTTGAGTGGGAAATACAGGAATGATGGGCACCATGGGGTAACTCACAGTAAACCTTCTAACAGTGGATTTTATGGCAATATTATCTTCCTTTAAATGAAAAGGAGGTAAGAATGTAAACAGGAAGATCTTGTTTCTGTGTTCTCACAGGTGCAAGCCCAGAGCTAGTCCTGAAGAATTTGCTCTCATACAGCAAATCAGCAGCCAGATCAAAGAGAGGCAAAATGTATTCTTCGACATGGAAGCCTACTTGCCAAAGAAGAACGGGTATGTGCTTTGTCAGAGCAGGCACGTGCCCTAAGACTGACTTTTAAATGCTCACAGCAGTGGTGTTCCCAAAGGAGTATGTGTGTATTGAAGAAATACGTGTAAAACTGGATTAATCATAAATGTCCTGCAGAGTTGCTGTGTGAGCTGTACACAAGATTCACTAGCTGGTGGATCTAAGTTAAGTGTTTCACGCTACTCTGCTTTCCCGTGCTAGTTTTTTAACAACTAAATCAGCACAAGAATTTTCTCTCTCATTTAATTCAAACAGTGGATGTAGCTCAGATTTGCACTTTGCTTCAAGTCAGGTCAACAGCCCGGGTTTCTTTCAGTTGTTGAGTTCTGTGCACCCTTGGGAAGCAGGAGGTGTTGATGTCATTTGTGGAGTGATCTGGGACAAGCGACTTGATTCGCTCTTTTTTTACCCTTGTTTGGTTCTTTTTTTTTCCATCCTGTCCTGGCATTTGCTCAAGCTGAATTTTTGAAGGTCTCTGGTGAGCAAAGCTCAATGGGTGGAAGCGCAGGCTGAAGATAGCCCTCGTGGAGGAGTTTGTGGAGAGTCTTGTGCCCCAGAGCCAAGGGCAGCTTATTTAAACACGACAGACTAATCTGCCTTGTTCTGGTGTGTTTGAATAAAACAGACTTATGGGAGTCTCTTGTTTTTTTGTCTTCCAGTTTGTACTTGAATCTTGTGCTGGGAAACGTGAATGTAACTCTTCTGAGTAACCAAGCAAAGTAAGTGAGCTTTTTGCTTTCTAGTGTTGTTCAAGGCATGCAGAACTCGTGAAAATGGGTATATATATTTAAATATAAATTTAGGAATTAAAAAGCTGCTGCTAATTAACCATTACAGACTTAAGCCCTAAGGTTGTCTGTAGTGGCTGCGCAGGTGAGACCCTGCAGGGAAAGTGCTGCCTTTTACCCCCGTCTGCTGTTTTTGAGTGTTGTTAAGCAAAATCTGTCCCTGGGATTGGCAGGTCTGAGTGTGCAGTACAGAAATGTGCCGTGTGAAGTGTGTGGGAGCCCTAATACCAGGCACAGGCTCTTCCTTTGCTTAAATTTCCAGTACAGATAGTTTGTACAAAATTCCCCTCTGTGGTGGGATTCTGCAGCATGCAGGGACTTCGCTTCTATTCTGTTGCACCCATTTCTGGGTGAGAGGAGGAGGAGGAGGTGCAGAGATGAAGGCTGCGGTCCTGGGGCAGGGTCTGCACAGGGGGCCTTGGCTGGCATGGGGTGCCTGTGACTGCAGAGGGGCCACATGATATCGCTGAGGTTTGTGTCCCTCCTGCAAGAAGGAAAGTCCCGTTGCAGTCAGACATCCCATACAAAGCACAAGGTGTCCTGCACTCTAATTGTTCTGTTCCAGGTTCGCCTACAAAGATGAGTATGAAAAGTTCAAACTTTATCTGACCATAATCTTGTTACTCGGGGCTGTGGCCTGCAGGTTTTTTCTTCACTACAGGTAAGCCTGCACTTTTGGTTGTAACCAGGTGTTTTGCATAAAAATGTACTCAGTCTGAATTAACTCTTCTTTTCTGATAAGGAGTGAGGCTTGGGCACTATTTAGTCTCCGATAGCTGTGTTACCCCAGCAGGAGAACTTCTGTGCCCATTTTTCTGTGCAGCTTGGCCCTGGATTTTCCTTGTTTGTTATTAATATTTTAGGAGTCTGTAGCATCTAAAAAAAGTTGTTGTTTTTTTTTTTTTTAAATTTCCTGATCAGTTTTGTTTTTTAAGGTGTTTTAGTGTATGTGGGAGTGAGCAGTTGGTTTTGCTCTCTGGTTGTTCCCCACAAGAATCGTGATTGTGCTGCAGGTTTGGGGCTGCAAACACCCAACAAGGACATTTGCATCAGATGGTCCGATCTGAAATGTTAGGTCACAGTAACATGTCTGAGCACCAGGGAGCTTCCACTATCAAGTTTTGTTTAAAAAAATAACATAAGTTTTGAAGCCTGACCCTTTCATCAGAGTCTCGATGGGGGCCAGATTGTACCATGGAAATGCATTGCTGCATAAAAGGGCTGCCCAGAATCCCTGTAGCTACAGGGACTTGCAAATGACAAAATAAGGGCTTCTCCCACCCACCCCACCCCCCACCAAGTGTAATGCTCTTCTGCTCTTTTAGTTGATTGGATTTATATAGATCACATTCAATCTTCTCATTGAATTAGCCTGGAAACGCCTTTCTAAATTGGATCATCTGCTGCTTCCATGCTGCTTTCTCTCCTTCAGAAGGAATTAATGGCATCTCCACATCCCTGCTTATGGGCTCGAGATCCTCAGGGTTTTATCGTGGTGCTTCCCCCAGTACCGGCCTTTGAGCCTGGCAGGGTGGCCGATGTGTGGGGTCAGGACTGGACCTTTGTGTCTGTGGTCTCGCTCGGGCAGGTTTTCATCATCCTGCTTCTTTGGGGGAGGGAGGAAGAATAGGGATTTTCAAATGTGTGTTTATAATTAACAGGATAATTTCCTGTATTTTTGTTTTTTAACAGGGTGACAGATGAAGTGTTTAACTTTCTGTTAGTGTGGTATTACTGCACGCTGACGATACGGGAAAGCATTCTCATTAGCAATGGATCAAGGTACCATGCAATCTGCAAAAACTAGTTAAAACATGAAATGTCCTTAAAAGAAAAGCGAGCAACAAAAGCGGATTTGGTTTGGCGCTGAAGCCCAGCAAATCTGAGACGATGATTCTTCTCCACAGGGTCTGTTGTCTCCGACCCTCTCTCCGTGCACTTCCAAAGGCAGGTGTGGCCACCTGAAATTTGGGAAGGGAGGAGAAGTTGTACTGTCTGAAAAGCCCCTGCTCTCTTGATCCAAAGTACTGAATGGGTTTGGTAGCTACAAGTTAGCTGTAGATGTGGTTCGGAATACAGAAGTGTGTATCTCAGGCCAGTCATTTCAGTGAACACACAACTTTGTGCCTTTCTTTGACTGCAGCTGCATGTCTCTGTGAATGCATCCGCACAGCGATTCCCTAGTAAAAACAGGAGCAGAAGCTGCGTTGCCATCCGTTTTATGCCACGCGTTGCTGCAGCGTGGTCTGAAGTGCTCGACTCAATTACACTTGTGTGGAGAGAAAATTGGTGGTTAGGAGGAGATAATTGTGTAAAGAGCCAGGAACACAGGATAAAACACAGATGATGCTTAAGCCCTGCCCTTGGTTTCCTCCTTGTGACACCTTCCGAAGGAGTGTCCTGGATCGTGTCCAGGCTCAGCTGGGGTCATTAGGAGCTTCCAGTCTCCTGGTTTGGTTACATCCCTGGCACTGAGTTTTGCAGCTCAAACAGTCTGGGGGGTATTAGGCATGTGGAACAGAGGAGAAATCCTGGGAAGAGAAGTACAGCTCTTAGTTTTGCAGCTCAAACAGTCTGGGGGGGGGTATTAGGTATGTGGAACAGAGGACAAATCCTGGGAAGAGAACTACAGCTCTCTGAGTTGATGGATGATGTTGCTTATGAATTGCTCCTGGAGCATCCCCTTTAACTGTGGGACATCTGTGCTGTGGGGTATTCCTGGGAATTGCTGCTTTGAATGGGGATAGGGGCTGTGTTGCATTTGGGCAGGAGAGGGAAGTGCTTCTGCCAGAAAGAAGCCCTAGTGAGGTACCCATGGGAGGCAGCTTCACATCTGATTAAAAAAGTCCCTGTGTCTTCTGCCCCCATCTGCTGTGGGCTCGAACAAAAGTCACCCATGACCCGCGTGTGTTCTCAAAAATCAAAGTGCAACAGAGCCACAACAGACCTGGCGCTTCCCATTGCAGCCAAACGCTGCACGTGCCCTTCTGGTGCTCCTGGGGAGGATCATGTCCCTGCCTTCGTCTCGAGACGCCAAGGCCGGGAGGAATTCGGGGCATCCGCCATCCCCACGGCTCCTCCTGGAGACCGGGACATCCCAGGGCGAGGGCTGTTCTGCCCGGGCTGCAGAGGGTGCCAGGTGGGCCTGGTGTTGCTGCCTTTGCTCTGGACCAGCTCAGCAGAGCTTGGACAAGTTGCCTGGCTCTGCACTGAAATGGGAGCAAGTGTCAGTGCCATCAATGGCATTCCCCTAATTAAGAGCTAATGAGGAGGGTGTGTGATGCTCTAGGGAGGCCCGGAGCTGCTGACAGCCCCTCCACCCTTCATTGCAGCTGGTCTTTGCCACGTGTGTGCCCTGGTGGCTTCATGTGCCGGTCCCAGTCCCTGCGCGTGGGTGGAGGGCAGGGTTACCAGTGTCTCGATGCCCTCTCGGGGTTTGAGACCTTTGCTCTGAGACACCCCAGATTAACCCACCACGTTGGTTTCGTTCCTAGTGCAACGCTCTCCTTGGGACAGCTTCTTGTTCTGCCTCGTTTGCCTTCATTTGGTTTAAGTTCCACCTTCTGTGGTGCTCACATGTGAAAGAAGCTGCTGCCTTGTAAACAGAGCCTTGAAACTTCACTTATTTGCATGGCAGGGAGAGAAAGGGGGTGTGGGCCGAAACTTGCGCAGTGTCACTGACTGCAGTGCCTTGTGCTGCTCTCCCTGTGCCAGGAAGTCTGCCTGTTCCTGCCTGTTTGGGAGCACACAAGACCTGTCATGTTGTGTCCTGAGCCTTCCTGCAGCAGCTGGGGTCTCGTAGCCTCCAACCAGGTCTTTTATATTTATCCATGTTTTCCTTCTAACTATTGTATTTTTTTTCCCCTCATTTCAGGATCAAAGGGTGGTGGGTGTCTCATCACTACGTCTCCACGTTTTTGTCCGGGGTGATGTTAACGTGGTGAGTTTTCTCTTGTCTGCTGGTAGCTGCTGCAAACAGCATCGTCTGAGCATTCACATCTGTGAGCACGTAACCATGTCTGCACTTACACCTGCTTTAATACCTGCCTGATGTTACTGCTCTTTGGAACAAGCTGCAAGCTTAAAGCTTGCTTAAAACCAACAAAACCCAGACAAAAACAAAACCCCCAGGACTTAGTTGTGGTGGTGGTAGCAAAATCTCTGCAAGTCTCCCAGTTTCTGCTTCTGCATGAAGGCCTGAGCAAACAAGCAGCTCTTTGCTATAGTGTGAGAATGGCAGCGAATGAGCTGTGTGCGGCGCCGTCGCTGAATCCAGGTTGTAAACCGAGTACAAAGCCAAAGATTCAAATGCTCAATGGATGGTTCTGTGTCAAAAAACCTCAATACACCCTGCGTGGGGTGGTTGTACAAACCATTGCAGCTTTAATGATTAATAATTAAACATTGTTTTAAAACAACAAACAAATATTTCTGACTTTGACCCTTTGTGGGAGTCATACGATAACTGGAGAGGAAGGTTCCTTGTCCTCCCTATGTCCCAAATTACTTTTAGGAAAAGGAATGCAGCCCCCTTGCCCTACATCTTGGCTCCACCATGTTGAGTCTTGATGCAGACGTTGGTGAAAAGCCTCAATCGCTGCCTAGAGACAACAGCTAGAAACAAACGGATGAGAGGGGCAGTTCGGGCACACTGGAGAGGGGCAGCCTGATGGGATCATTTCCTATGGCACAGGATTCCCGTTGGTGGCTGCAAGGCCCCTCCTGGGCTCCGCATGGGCTGGGAAGCAGCTGCCAGCTCCAGCTGCCCCTGGGATGGGGCCTGGCTGACAGGGGCAGGCGCTGGGCGCTGGTTTGTTGGTTTTGTCTTGTTTTCTTTTGCTCTTAAATCAAGTGACTGAACCTTTCTTTGTGTTTCGTTTTCAGGCCAGATGGACTCATGTATCAAATGTTTCGCAGTCAATTTTTAGCGTTTTCAATATTCCAGAGTGAGTATATCTTGATAATTCAGTCTTAAACTGTGTAAATGTAAGCAACATCATACAGCTGCAAATGCACAATCCACAGGTGTAAACAGTAGTTGAACATTTCCACGTGTGTTAACTAGACTGATGCATCATTTTCTTTCTTCTGAGCGTGTTCCTCTCGTTCTCCAGGTTGTGTACAGTTCCTCCAATATTACTATCAGAGGGGCTGCCTCTACAGGCTCCGTGCTCTGGGGGAGAGAAACCACTTGGACCTTACAGTGGGTGAGGCCTTCTGGAATATGGGGTTTGCAAAACCTCCTGTTAGGACTAACAGCCGGGACAAGCTTTAAACGCAGCAATAGGGGCTGGGCTTTGTGGCCCTCCAAGAGCAGGGGAGGCCTCCTCTGTGCAGCTCTGACTTCCCTGCCCGGTGCCTTTGCCTGAGCAGGGAGAGGAGCGAGGCTTTTATCCCTGTAGCTCAGAAGCAAAGGGCTGTCATCCCTGTCAGGCTCTCCTGGGGATGAGCCTGGGGCTTTTTCATCCCCATCTTCATCTTCCTCCCGTTGTGGCACTGTCTGGTTGGTTACAGCTGAGCAGAAGGGGCACAGTATGTGCAGGGGAGCAGGCTGGGGGCTGATTGTACATGGTGGCCTGGCCCGTGGGCACTGTGGAGAACCTGGGGGACACTTCCCCAAGGGGACAGGATGCAGCTTCGGTTCTGGCTTTCCCATGCTCGCTCTCAGCATCTTCTCTTAACCTTTTGCAGAAGGATTTCAGTCCTGGATGTGGCGGGGGTTGACGTTCCTCCTTCCCTTCTTGTTCTTCGGGCATGTAAGTGGGGCGGTCCAGGCCCTCCATCCAATGCATGTGGGGCAGGCAGGTGCTGGAGTGGGTGGTCCACGCGGCGCGGGATGAAGGGTGCCAGGGTCTGCGAGTAACAAAACTGCTCCTTCTCTCTTTAGTTCTGGCAGCTATATAATGCAATCACACTTTTTGGATTGTCGAGGCATAAGGAGTGCAAAGAATGGCAGGTGGGTGTTGGTTCTGCTCGGAAAGAACATGGTGGTAGAGACACTTTAAAATTATTATTAATTGATTGTTTTTAAAGCAAGTCCTTAAGGATACTTGGGCATCTAAGCCCATCTAAGTACTTCACTGTCATCTGGCACAGTGCTTATACTGTGCCAGAACTTAAGAACACCTCTACAGAACTTGTCAGCTCTGTAAAATAAAGTTGTTACTGGGGAAAAACATACGCCCT